TTAGTCAGAAGGATCCACATAAAGTTATAACATACATGTAAGCTCACTGTTTGTGGAAGTAAGATAGAGATGTTTATTCTGCTGCAATCAATATGGCTAGGGATTCATGTTCATGGAAAACAGCTGTTATGGCTGTGATTTGGAAAATGGTTTTGTGTGGGTTATTAACTAGGGGTTGCAGCCAGGAACCACTCTGCCCTCCCCTGCCCGCCCTCTGCCTTGTGCTACAGCCTGGAAGGGTTTGTCTCCGTTGCTCTAGCGCTTAGCACCAACCACAGCAGGAGGCAAAGCTAGTGAACCCAGAAGCAGCCCAGCACCATGAAGACCAGTAAAACCAAGTTTGGGTGTGACACCAAAGTGGGTAAATGTTGTGGCATTTGCTGGTTAGCTATGAGTCTGAGGTTCCTAGAGCACAATTAGATCATTCTACTTACCTTTTGTTCTCTTCTAGGGGCTCCCTTAAGAAATTAAGTTCCTGCATGTAATCTTATCGCACATCAGAGAACTGCTTTTGAGGTTTTCGACATTACACTTCTGTTGAGAGGGCTCAGAGCACCACAACCATGGTGGCTTTTACGGATGCCCGAGACAGAAGCTTCCACAAAACCTAAGGTGCCTCTCAGGACAGAGTCCCTGGGTTTAAACGGTGACTAGGTGCTTGCAGGTCAGTGACTGCGCAGCAGCTTAGAAGGGGCTGGAAATAAGAGTCCACCTGCTAGAAGTGGGATCTTGACCTAAAGAAGGGAAAACTGAACCTGTCATTGACCTCACAGCTCTTTATATAAAGACCCTGGGCCCATACTGGTGCAGTCCAGATGGATGGCCACCCTCTTCCTTACGCCTCCCCATCCCGCATGCTGCTCAGACCATTCAAAGGCGCCCTGGGTTTCTTCCCCCAACCTCTCTGAGGATGGAAACCTGGGGCTTCTTTTTTTTTTTTTAACATATTTATTGGAGTATAATTGCTTTACAACAGTTAGTTTCTGCTGTATAACAAAGTGAATCAGCTATACATATACATATATCCCCATATCCCCTCCCTCTTGCATCTCCCTCCCACCCTCCCTATCCCACCCCTCTAAGTGGTCACAAAGCACTGAGCTGATCTCCCTGTGCTATGCGGCTGCTTCCCACTAGCTATCTACCTTACATTTGGTAGTGTATATATAAGTCCATACCACTCTCTCACTTGGTCCCAGCTTACCCTTCCCTCTCCCTGTGTCCTCAAGTCCATTCTCTACATCTGCATCTTTATTCCTGTCCTGCCCCTAGGTTCTTCAGAACCATTTTTGTTTTTCTTTAGATTCCATATATATGTGTTAGCATATGGTATTTGTTTTTCTGTTTCTGACTTACTTCACTCTGTATGACAGACTCTAGGTCCATCCACCTCACTCCAAATAACTCAATTTCGTTTCTTTTTATGGCTGAGTAATATTCCATTGTATGTATGTGCCACATCTTCTTTATCCATTCATCTGTCGATGGACACTTAAAACCTGGGGCTTCTTGTCTGATTTCTTCTCACCTGACACTCTTACATGGTTTTAGTTTTGTCTTCCTCAAGCTAAAGGATTTAGATTATTCGGCCGAGTGGCCTTTAGAGCTGTGAAAACTGGGGTAAAAATATACTAATGCACGTCCATGGTTTCTGTTCTACAAAATGTCACTTTCTTTGACTTCCGCGTGGACTTTCCCAGCACCAAGTTTGTAGGCTCCAGTCACTCAGTAATCATCCTCCCAAGTGGCCTTGCTGAGTTTTAAAAAATGGGGCGCTTCCCTGGTGGCGCAGTGGTTGAGAGTCTGCCTGCCGATGCAGGGGACACGGGTTCGGGACCCGGTCTGGGAAGATCCCACATGCCGCGGAGCGGCTGGGCCCGTGAGCCATGGCCGCTGAGCCTGCGCGTCCGGAGCCTGTGCTCTGCAACGGGAGAGGCCACAACAGTGAGAGGCCCGCGTACCACCAAAAAAAAAAAAAAAAAAAAAAAAAAAAGGGGTGGGGGTGGAGACTGTCTGGGAAGGGGCTTCCTAAGGGGCCCTTTTCACTAGAGAGCTACTTATGTCAAAATGAACAGAAGGCAACTAGACCCTCTACACTTTGTTCTGGGGCCCCGGGGTCTAAGTAACACCAAGAAGTGTGAATTCAGCACCACTTAAAAT